TGGCCATTACCAGTCCTGTGCAACCTGACCTGACCTGACCTGACCTGACCTGACCTTCAAGTGAGGCGCGGCGTTTTAACTGCTGCACGTTTTTGCAATGGGAAAGCCGGTCGAGAAAAAACGAAAGAAGAAACTGTCTCACCAGCCTGATCCGGAAATAAATGTAGCGAAAAGGCATAAAGGTATTATTTTCCTTGTGTAAAATTATGTACTTTATCTAGAAAAATTGAGCAGTCGGCAGAAGAAACGGTTGGTTTTTTCTGGAATCTAATGACATTTTTATAGAATCAAAAAGCGAATTTTAGAAGATAAAGAAACAAAAGCACACGCGAGCAAAGTTAGAGTGCTTTGTGTGTTGACATCTCTCATAGGTTTCCAGTGATAAGAACATTTTGGGTGATGAAGTCTCTAAGAAAGATCTATTTTCTTTGGATAGTGAGATGCTAGAAGAAAATGAGATCATTGTTGATGACTTTGGCGATATTGAAGAACTTGAGACTAAGTCGCTGGAGGATGAACCCCCAGAAAAAAGTGATACTGAACTAGAGGATGCTACTGTTCAGCTTAACGTCGAGGAACCCGAAGGGCCCGATGTGGCCGATGTCACCTTTCTTGATCAACGCATAAGGTCATGGATTATCATGTTGAAAAACTTCAAAAAAAGTGCCCAACCAGGGCTTAGTCGCAAGTCCTGCATACACAGCCTTCTAGACGATATTTGCAAGCGATATTCATACAATAACTTCTTAGCACACAAGCTTTTTGATTTATTCCCGAAAGAGGTGAGGTACTTTTTATTTTAATTCTAGCATTCCTAGCTAATAGAAGCTCTTGAGGCAAATGAGGTCGATCGACCTGTCACAATTCGAACCAATACACTGAAAACCAGAAGACGAGAGCTCGCCCAGGTACTGCAACTTTTACGTATGAAGCTATGTTTCAGGCTCTAATAAACCGAGGTGTCAACCTTGATCCACTTGAACCTTGGAGCAAAGTTGGTTTAGTGGTGTATTCCTCTCAAGTACCGCTTGGTGCTACTCCGGAATATCTGGCTGGTCATTATATTCTTCAAGGTGCCAGCTCCATGTTGCCGGTGATGGCATTGGCACCAAAACCGGAAGAAAGAGTTCTCGATCTCTGTGCTGCACCTGGGGGTAAAGCAACATATATTGGTGAGTATGCGGGAATTTTCCCTCGGTTAACATGAGTTAACTGGTTCTCGTGGTGTTATCCTTTGTGACGATGGTGTGATAACTAAGATATCTGTATGTAGGGTTATTGACAAAAAATGCAAAAATCAGGGCGAGCGCGTGGTTCTAGTTTCACATTGACGTCGGTTGCTTATCATGATATTTATTTCCCTACAGTAGCACTAAATTCATAGTCATCTTCACTTTGACTGATTTCGAGATGTACGGGGCATCAGCATGCTAGATGTGAGTCTTCGCTGTGTGCACCATGATGCGTGATTAATTGGGACGATTCTGTAGCCATTATAGGAAACTAGATTGTATCTCTTTCATGTCATCACGATGAGACTGCACTAACGTGATGGTTAGTGTAACTATGACCCAACGAGCTGTACAGGTTAGTTTTCTTTGAGCCAAGTATCTAGCCATATCTAGAAAGCCGAAGTATAGATGTCAGATAGTGCAATCTCCTGGCTTTCCAGTTCTGGAATTCGAGTCGGGTAAGCATTTCAATCAGTAAAAAATGATGAATCATTCGATACAATCAAGTAGGCCCTCGCTTCACCTTAATCGCGGCCTTGAGGTCATTTTCCTGTCAGAACTGATGAGTTTGGTGACTGCTCCTTAGCGCGGCTCAGTACAAAATTGAAGGTCCTATTGGACCACCTGCATTGAATCTTCTCATGCTCTAGTTTTGATGCAGTTCACTCTCCAACTCACTGGTCGCAGAAAATCCAACCGAACTCGATCGGCAGATCATCGCTTATATGACCCAGCCCTTCGTGCCCGTTTTAAATCGAACTAGGGTAAGAGCTAAACGCTCGGCGGGGTGGTAGTGTAGATGAACAATAGGTTCAGATTAGCCAAGCAATGCACTCCGCAGCGAACGTTGCTTGTGGATCTGAAGTAGTAGCCCGCCCGAGGCATTGAATATCTGATGAGTCAGTCGTACTGATGGAGAAAAAGCGGCAAATCTCAACTACTCGGGATCAAGGCAGGGTTAGGTGGCGTCTGCAACGTCAACTCACGAGGAGCCTCAAGAAAGACCGTGAGAACTGGTAGACAACGATAGCTAGTGAGATGGAAGTAGCAGCTGCATCAGGGAATAGTCAAAGACTGCTCCAGCTGATACACAATACGGGAGGTCGGCGAACCACAGTTAGTGAAACAATCTGCAACAAAAATGGATAAGCTATTCACAATAGGGAACAGCGGCTTGACTGGTGGGCGGAGTACTTCAGCGAACAGTTCAGTTGGC